AAAAAAAAAAAAAAATTGAAAATTTTTAGTTTTTGTTTGTCATCAACTGACGAGGTCGTAGACGAAACTAGTTTTGAAGTTTTCGCAGTAGTGTGTTGAAAGTAGAAGTTAGTTGGAGTGTTTTTTCACTTACATGGTTTATAATCGAAGAGTCATCCCCGATAAAAATCACTTCACATGATAACACTGAAAACAAAAGGAGTTGTGGGTCACAAAATTTCTTCAGACTGATGAAATTATAAAATTTACTAGAAGCAGATCAACTTGTGAGCTACCAATCCAGTTAAAAGTAATAACCAAACTGGTGATAAATAGGAAAAATAAGGATATCAATTTGGCCCTGTTTGTCCTGGATATTTTTTCAGGTTACGGCCACTACAAGAAAATCTCCATTGACAAGTTCCTTAAGGATATTAACAAAATGAGTTTCAAGATTTGGATCACTAGTTTCTCGACATTAATTCCGTGTGCGCAAGCCCAGCGATCATCACAGGGCCCGCTTTTATAAACCAATTTCACCTGAGTGAAATATTCCATTTTTCATTTTAGAGGGCGAAGATTGACACCTACTAGATTTAATGGTGCTAATCTGCGCTTAGAATCAAAGTAATCAAACACGCTCAAATCGAAGAACTCAGATGGAATTCCTCGCTTGTTCCCTGTAACCCAATTGACACATGTTTTGTCTGACTTCGGTGACAGATATCGCAATGTAACAGATCATCTTAACTATTCCTTGTTTGCTATTCAAGGAGTTGAATATGAAACTCAGTTAATTCAAAGAAAGGCGAATCTAGTCTGTTAACTAAATCAGGTAGTGATGTATTTCATCCTCATTGTAAAACGTTGATGTAAGTGACAATCCGTTTTTGAATTTGTCACTTACATTGTTAGGAGGGTAGATATTGACTAGATTAATATCAACGTCGTTGCACCTGATCAAAACACTGACAATACGACCTTGTGAGTCCTTCTTCCAAGATACGATTTCGTCTGAGCATTTCGAAAAAATCAAGGTGACGACACCACCCTGTTTCCCGGAGGCAGGGGACCAAAACCTACGGCCCAGCCATCTACGGGATAGAGATTTGATAGTAGATTCTGAATGAATTAACGTTTCTTGTACAGAAGAGACTTCACAGTTGGACTTCTCGTTCAAATCAAACAAGAAATTGTAGGTAAGGGGGTTTGCTAGCCCCCTTGCATTGATAGTTAAAGTTTTCAAGGATTCTGGGAAAAAAAGACACATTTCACTTTTCTAGCCCCCTGACATTAATAGTACAAATTTGAAAATGCTTGGAAAAAAGACTCATTTGAAACATAATAAAGGCTTACTTGGACTTCTTAGAGTGTCTATTTCTTCCTTTTTTCTTTTCAGTAGGGGTAGCTTCTTTTAGGTATGGAGATAGATCAGAAGATTTTCTCTTTAGGTCATAAGAAGTTTCCATATCAGCTTCAGAAGTACTTGGAGGGGTCGAAGACGCGGTAGGAGTAGATATCGAGGATGCAGGAGGAATGGGAATCGAAGATCGTGGCTTTCCAGTGGTGAGAGTAGGTGTAGTGGCTTTCCGGGTGCAAGCGAGAGATGTTTCAGAAAGGCGAGCAGGTGTACGACGAGATAATAGTTGTTTAGGAGGTTTGGAAACGATGAGGCCTTCAGAATCTAAAATCGGGGAATGAGAAGCAGCAGATGACGGTTGAGAGAGTTCTTCGAGCTGTACAGGATCAGACGGTCGTTCGGAGGGCTGTTCGATTACAGGATCAGGCTGGCTAGGTTCAGATGGGGGTAGGGCAGTTAAATCAGGCAAGGATTCATGTTCGGCAGATTTGATGAACTGTGGAGGTGGCGGCAAAAAGGTGGCTAGTGGAAGGTTTTCATTAATGGAATCGTCAGAAGCGAGCGGTAGGTTTTCATCAATAGGATCAGAGCTGTCGTGTGCAGACATTTCGATATTAGATGGCGTGGAATTTTTGTGCGTAGGGTTTTCTATAATGGATGGCGTAGAATTATCATGGAGGTCTTCGTTTAGATCTTCAATATTGACTTCTTGGACCTGATCAGTTTGACTGCCTTGAACAACTGGGTAAACCCAGGCCGTATTCGCAATTAACGCCAAAGTGTCCTTCCTGTTTACATATACAGCACAATAATGGTCTTGGACAATTCCGGGCTTCATGGCCGACACCTTCACAATTGAAGCAAATTTTGTTTAGGCATTCATTACTGAAGTGATCTGGTCGATTACATTCGCGACAAGTTGGAGTTTGGCCGTTGTGTTTTATGAAAATCTGATGTTTACCAAAACGAATAAAGCTAGGGATTGGCTTGATAATGCGTACCCGATAGTGGCGAAGACCGTTGTAAATGTTTGGCGCGTATGAATGTTTTCCTCGTCGATAGTGCAGAACTTCACAGTAGGGCGTTAAGCGTTTAATTATGGCAAGGTCGGACAGTTCAAAAGGAGCATCGTAAATAGTTAGGAAAGAAAGCGGTTTATCAGTATCTTGTTGAGCGATGGATTCAGGGTCGATGTTTAGAGAGTTTAGGCCTAGAAAGCGTTCTTTACCGGTTGTGGACTTAAAGGTAACGACAACCTCACCGTTAAGTTTACGTTGAAGACACTGTATGTCAGTCGGCGAACTTCAGTTTCAGCAAAAGCATCGAAGACGGCACGGGCAGACGTACTTTTGTGCGGCGTAAAAAAAGCAGACTTCGGTCTTTGGGGCATATTATTTTCTGATACCCATAGTTTTTAGGGTCTTACTTCATTTAGTTCAGTCGTGCGAGCAGCTCTTGAGGCGTAAGAGTCGCCATTAACGGTCGAACGGGGTTTGCAAATTGTCTTCAGCAATCATTTCTTCTAACCTTCAACATTCATTGTAGCATTCTTACTCAGAAACAAAAACAGGAGTGAAAATAGGGCCCAAACGGGCAAACTAATCTCAGATAAATCGCAAACTTTGACTAAGAAGGAGTGCTGAAAACATCCGATCTAGCCAAAAGGCCGAGAAGCGATCACTGTTTCGGCCTTCTGGGCCTCATCAGTGCAGTTTTTTTATGTTTAAGGTGGACGGCCGGGCCCCCGATGAAGGGAGGTGCAGTGCCCGCCGACCTACATGTCTAAGCCCAACCCATGGCAGCTTTTTTTTTTTTACGTTATTCGTTGAGGGGACGGTGTCACCTTTTTCGATCAATGCAATCAAAATAAAACCATCACATTGCAACCGTGGATCACTTTTGACACTCACTTTAAAGTTTTTGAGACTAGGATGGTTTTTCGTCAAGTCAGTTCAATGAATTAAAGATCTTGAGCAGCAGTCCTACCATTATTTCAGATCAAACCAACTACAGATAACGCCATCTTCAAAGTATTCGTGCGACATGGCCAGCGACCAACTGTCACGGAGCACGATGTATCAAAGCAAATTCCGCATCCTTCATGCTTGATGGCTTCCCAAGATTCTTATAGCCATTGCAGGAATGAAGCTTACGACATCCTTTTGTTACCTGACGAGTTGAACAAACCGGGACAATATTATATCGGCATACAGTACGAGAAGGGTGAAGGAGAACTCCAGAGTCGACGTAAGAAGCGGTCATGTTCTGGAAGAGGCCGCCAAAAGAGATCATGTGTGGAGGTTAAGGAACCACTAAGACCCGAAAATATCACGGTGAAGCCTGTTTATGACCCAAAGACAGACGTCAATTACTCAATGAATCTGCTGGAAGAGAGTTGTCTCTTTTGGGACGGTATAGAAGAACGCTGGTTATCAAGGGGATGCAAAGTAAGTTTGTCTTTTATTGCTAAAACCTGATTACTTTGGTAAGTCATCATTTTTTAGCCCCTAGTTGTGTTTTCATTTTACTGATATAGTCTTCGCGCCTTTTCCAAATTGCAACCTTATTACATTGAACAGTACCAGAATTTTGTAAGCTGGATCGATAAAAAGCCATGAAGCCAATAGCTCTTGATTAAAAACCCTCTCGTCTCACACCTTCAAACTGACCAAACCTCAAAATATTGCCTCACAAGCTGAATGGTAGACAAGTAAATGGGGCAGATGAAAAATTCTTTCGACGGCTTTTACAGGAAAAGTTTTTTAAATGCTTAATTTAACGACTGCTTTTAGATCACCCTGAATGATGTTCACCCCGAAAATCGGTCAAAAAAATCTAGAAGCTTCTTTGGTAAGTTGCTTCAAGACATTCCGTATTACGTCATTTTTTGTCATCAGTATATTGCCAAATTTTCCCCAATCGACTTTCTCCTGGAGATGTTGAACAAGGCGCACCAAGGCGTCTCTACATGCAGATGTCTTACGGGCCCTACTGGCACAAAAACGGATGGTCAGCCCCTTAATCCGGCTTTTCCCCCTATCCCACCATTTAGCGAGAGAGGGAAAGCGAGGGACAGCAAGACGCCAAGCGGACCATTCCTCCCGGACAAGTTGACAATTATCCTGATCTTCCAAAATTGAGGTGTTGAGCTTCCAGAAGCCAGGGCCAGGAGAAAATTCTAAATTTGGCGTCGGTTGTTTTGACCAATGTTGTTTTGATACTTTTCCTTCGGTTTATTCTTTATATTCGATTTATATTTCGGTCTTTTGATTTGTATTGCGGATAATCAGCATACTTAGACTCGAAAAGAACTAACCAGGTGTTTACTGAAAGCTACTTGGGAGCATTTGTGGAGTATCGTTGAACTTGCGTTTACGTTTGAGGGATGGAAGCCATTAATAATTTTAGAACATCGTGGATCGTTATTGGGCTGTTTGGAAGTGCTTTAATTACCGGAGGTAAGAACCTGAAGCGGTGAACTCTTTCTTGCTGTATAGATGAGCTCATAAGCTTGCAAATCTTCTAGATCACGCATAAAACTGTAGAGGAGAAACTATCTTTGTGATATATTATGAGGAAATATTCTCCGGGGCAATGCTTACACTTTCCGTAAAACGCCTTAACTGTTAACGCCTTGTTCATTCGTGCAAGTAAGTGGTGAGGTATAAGTATATTACTTTGATTAATACATTTTCAAGCTTAGTTTAGCTACAAACAAATGCAAGAAATAAAAACATAAATAAACAAATGCTGGCATTTGTGTGCTGTTTTGCTATTGCTTATAATCATAATCTAACACGCTGACCGCTATGAACTATGGGATCGAGCGTCGGAGTCGATCACTCTCGCTGTCGCGTTCAGGCCCCATGGTCGCGTGTACTATTTGTCCATATTGCCTTCTTCACTCGTCGCTTCCTTCAGTTGGTTCAGAAACGATTAGGGTTTCCAATCTGTCACAGTTTTCTTAACCAATATAATGCAATAGGATGGCTCTTTTTGTGATGCACTGGTGATGTTCATAGAGGCAAACATATTACTATGCGTACCAGAAAAAACACGGGTCCGTACCCATCTCCCAATACATGGTACTGATTGTTTACACGGTCTAAAATGTGAAGTACGTACTCCTCTTTTGACACGTCCGTACCCGATTTTTCTCCCGTGTAAACGGCCTTTTACTATGTGTGGTTTACCAAGTACGATTTACTACGTATGGTTGACTCCAGTGTGATTTGAAAAAAAAAGTCACTTTCATGAAAATTTAGTGATTACGCAAACTTTAAGCATGTAAGCTAGCTTTTAAGGGGCCATTTTCATGCAAATAAAAGTTTTTCCTAAACTAAAATTAATGAGAGCTCTCCTTATTGCTTTTGCCCTCTAGTACTATGAATATTCCGTTTTAATTTATTTTATTTTGAAGAGAGTGTGTGTAGTTCTTTCCAATAAGTGGGTAGATTTCATCATAAAGGAAATTATTGGGCGACAATCTTTAAACTGAAGTTCTTGTGCTAACATAAACAGCTATGGATTTAGAACTTGAGCTCGTTAGCTGACTAATAAAACTTTTACTAACACCCAGAAATCTTCTCCTAGAGCGAGGAAATAAAACAAAATTTTTTGAGCTCAATTATTTCGCAAATCCTTTAACTTTTTGCCGAGTTAAAAACATAGAATCTTACTTGGATAAAAATTCCCAAAGTCAAACTGATGTCAAGAAGAAATTTATGCTCCCTTACTTCTTTACCTACATTGCTTGGTTTTTAGTCCTTGTCACTGTCTCTGTGTCTTCTGTCTTTACATTCTTCTTCAGCTTGCAATGGGGAAAGGACATTTCGAACCAGTGGCTTTCTTCAATGTTTATATCTTTCACCCAAGACCTTTTTGTCCTACAACCTGTGAAGATATTGATTATCATACTGTTAACCGCTTCTTTGTATCGCAATAATGATGACACCGAAACCGTTAGCCAAAACACTGAAGAAAAAATGCATAGCGAAAGAAAACGCTTCAACAACAATCATAGTGTTCAAGTGGAGATGCCAAGGGAGGATGAAGTTATGCGCGCAAGAGAGTACAGGATGAAAGAGTCAGAAATGTTTTCCTTTTTGCGAGAGGTCCTGGGGTATCTTCCGTTCTTAGTTTTGCTTATCATTGTGTGTTACGGTAGCCGAAGTTACCACGGATATCTCATGACTATGGATCTGAAAAATACCCTTCGCGAATTTTCTTTGGTAAGTAGCTCTACATTTCAGGGTAACCGAATGCCTTTGTTAATTGTAAATTGACTTGTTTGTAAGTTATAATGATCGGCGCGCCAAGCAAGAATGACATAGAGGTGAGATCAATTGCATCGCTTGACTCTGGCTTGATTTAACTTCCAATAGATTACGTCCTTTGTGGACTGATCTAGTGTTTAGGGTTTTGTCATTGCTCCGAAGGTTCCACCGAGCGCATTTGAATATAGCTATACTCGATATGATACAATCATATTTTTATTTTATTACAAGATCTAATTAAGGGAAATCTTCTATAGGAAAGTCAACTTTTATTTTGGCCTGACTTGGATGTTACTTGGCGTGCGCTCACACATATTGCCACTTACAATCAATTTGAAATTTAGTGTGTTTATAATTACGTAAGATGTTCAGGATTTTCAGTTATCTTGGCCCTTCCCACTAACCCCGTCCTCCCTTCCCTTGTATGCGTTCTTATCGGTTCATTGCTACTGCACATTTTGATACGCATCTTCTTGCCTAGGCTGAAGATCCACGGTATTTCTGGAAATGGCTTGATGTCGAGTTTGTGGAGGGCGTCTACGTCAGCGACTGGTACAACAACGACAAAATCAAACAGCAAGAGTACATTGGCAACAAGATGTCTGTTCTCTTAGGAATGCCTCGCTTGAGACAACTAAGAATACAGAAGGGTAAGTATAACATTATTTAATTTAAGAACTTTCAATTATATTAACGCAGAATTTGTAAAAGTTCTCGTAGGCAGTGGAACAAGGAACGAGAAAATCTTGGTGATCATTTGATACAAACTTCACATTTTTTTTCTGTATCTATTGGTTATAATGCAAATTTCAGAACCTAAATCGTACAGAAAGGAAAGAAATTAAAGAGTAGGATAAGAAAAGAWATAAAAGAATTGTAAAGGAAAAAGAGAGTAGAGTCCTTTAACTAGAACAATGAAATCTACGCCTCGGCAACAAGAAAGAAAAATGTGCAAAGCAATTAAAATTGTGACGATTATTTTCAAAACAGTTACATTTACATTTCAATTTTTTTAAATAGATTCTTGCATTGTTCCAAGAATAGTACAAGGCATCATACACAGGGGCTGCTACGATCACTATAGCTTTAATGAAGAAGATAAAAATCCTGTAAACCTTCCAGGCTGGAGACCATTCAGCGGCTCTGTTGAATGGGCAAATTTTTCCGACCTATGCCCTGCACCATGGCAATATGCGCCAAGCAAGAAACTCCACGACTCGCCTAGCTGGGGTTACTTCGATGTTTACGATGGTGGTGGATATGTTGCAGATCTAGGCTACAATAGAAGCACAGCCCAAGCAGCCATCTCTAACTTGATAGAATACGGTTGGATTGATCAGCAGACACGCGCAGTTCTACTTGAGTTCACTATTTATAGTCCTTATACGGGTTACCTAATAATTTCAGCATACCATTATGAAATATTGCCTACAGGATATGGCTATCCTTTTCCAAAGATAGACACTCTTCAGCTGACGAGTACTGAAACAGGCTTTTACGAGTTCTACCTGATTTGTCAATTCTTGTTTATCATGATGGCGTTCGTCTTTTTACTAAAAGAAATATACAAGCTATATCGAACTAAGTGGACCTATTTTAGAGATGTGTGGAATTGGGTGGAAATTCTACAAATAATTAGTTCGGTTCTAGTCGTGGTTTTCTACATATTAAAGTCAAACCTGATTTTTAAACTCGCTGCTATGGTGAAGAAAAACCCTTTCGCCTTCGTAAGTTTTGGAGAAGCCGTTAGCTGGAGCCATACAGAGACCACTGTTTTAGCCATTGCAGTTTTTCTAACAACGTTGAAACTTCTACACATAATTCGCTTTAATCCGCACGTCTTCATAATGATGTCCTCATTTCGTGTTTCTAAAAGTTTACTGTTGTCCTATTCTATGATATTTGTCATTATTGTCGTGTCATACGCTCAGATGGGGATGCTGGTATTCGGCGACCACATTCAAGGTTAATCGTCTGTTTTAAGTACGCTGTTTTCAGAAGTTACCATGTGTCTTGGGGGCCAAACGAGCTTTCATGAGTTAATGAGAGTCAATCGCCTTTTGGGTCCGCTCTACGGTATCTCTTTTCTTACATTGATGTCTTTCATTTTTATGAACTTTTTCGTAGCAATTTTGAACGATTCTTTCGAAGACGTCAAAAGTAACACTGATAAACAATTCAAAGAATTTGAGATGGCTGATTTTATACTTGAGAGAGTAAGTGAGCTTTTAGGAATTAATAAGCGAGGCCAAGACTCTTGTCAAAATGACTCATTGAGAGAAGATGACACAGCTTCAGCCAAATCCCAGGACCACTCCAATTTGCCTCTACAACGTCAAAATGCTGGTCAAAATTACTCAATGAGAGAAGATGACACAGCTTCAACCAAATCCCAGGACCACTCCAATTTGCCTCTACAACAACGTCAAAATGCTGGTCAAAATGACACAATGAGAGAAGATGAAACAGCTTCTACCAATGCCCAGGACCGCTACAACTTGCCTCTACAAAAAACTTTGGAGGGAATCGACTCAAAGTTTGACGAAACCTTGAGCACTAAGGGGAAGAGGAAACTCATACCAAAATCTCTTTCAGAACATTTGGCAGCAAAGTTGGAATTGGAGAAGTCAAGTGGTCCAAAATCTTCAAAAAGAACGCTCGAAACAATCAAAAAGGATTCTTCAAGTGAGTTTGATTTGGATTCCTCATTAGAACATCTGTTTGACAGGATTGGCGTGTTGACCAATAATCTCGCAACGGAAGATCAACGACAAGATGTAAAACTGCTTTATGTGATCAGCCAATTGTCCCTCAAGAAGAATCATGAAACTTCATGCCAAGGAACGTTGTCTACACCACATCAAATGGAAGAGCCTTCCTCGGCAACAATCACTTCACAAGATAATATTGAAAAGAACAGGAATCGTGGGTCAAAAAATTCTTCGGAGGATGAAATAATGAGATTTATCAGACGCAGATCAACTCGTGATCTACCAATCCACTTAAAAATTGGAAGTTTTTACCAACAGCTCCAAAATGATAAAACTGGTGGTAAATAAGAAAACTAAGTATGTTCATTTTGCAGTGTTTATCCCGGACATATTTTCATCGTACGGCCGTGACGAAAAAATCTCCATTAACAAAGTCCTTAAGTATATTAACGAGAGGTTTTAAGATTTGGACCACTACTTTCTCAACTTTGACTCCATGTGAGCTATAGTCCAGGGATCATTACAGTGCCTCTTTTGTACACCAGTTTCGCCTGAACTAAATTTTCCATTATTCGTTTTAGAGAGCACCAGGGTGCTGAATCTAATTATGCCAATCGCTGCTTAGGATCAAACCGATCAAAGATGCTCAAATCAAATAACTCAGATATGTTTTCTCTGTGGCTACGTAGACAGATATCGCAATATTTAACAACTATTCACCGAAGTGGAGGTGGTTAGTGGTGGATATTTACCAAGCCGCGAAGCGGCGAGGTAAATATCCACCGCTAACCACCGACACTGAGGTGAATAGTTGTTTTAGTATATACTAAAACAGTGAGATAATATACACCACCAAAAATTGATTTTAATTCATACATTCCAGCAATGATTCCAACATTTTCCCGCGCGTAACGATCCAACGCGGCTCGGATCGCGGTAAGTGATTTTTTGTTGTAAAAACTGCCGTCTCGCTTTTTCGCTGATAGATAAAATTTCTGAAGACATTTGTTTAGCGACATTTCTTCAAATGGTTTTGCAAACTCTCTCTGTATTTGAAACCATTCTGTAAAATATACCATTCAACTTTGATTTTCAAGTGAACAAGTGAGGTTACGCAAGATTAATTTGCATTTGTAAACAAAAACTTTTTCATTGGTTTTTATCGATAAATTCCTGGTTACCATTACCTTTAAACACGGCCAAACCAAATTTCGTCGCTTTCTCTGTGTTTTCAGGGACTGCTTCGTCGTTAATTGAGTGATTTCTTCGCTTGTCACGGATGCAAACCGGAACGCCATTTTTTCCAGAGTTGCTCGGAGGTAAATTGCAAAGGATGTCCGGAGTTTGACTGGCCAATCAGAGCGCGCCTTCAACGCTATCCACTGTTTTAGTATATACTAAAACAAATTATTGTAAGATTCCTTATCTGCTATTCAAGGAATATGAAACAGTTAGTTCAAAGAAAAGAGAATCTAGTCTGTTAGCTAAATCAGCTAGGGATGTATTCCATCCTCATGGAAATAGGTTGATGACGGTGACCATACGTTCACGAATTTCAGTCTTTACCTGAAAAACCCTTTCAACAAACTAGTTTTTACCGGCTGTTGACGCATTTACAGAAGCAGAGGGATAAGATCGGTTGTAAATGCTGAGGAGTACCATTTTAAATGATTAGCACATCGTCATCATTATCATTACCATCGTCGACTTCATTATCATCATCATCATTATCATCATCATAATTATTGTCATTAGTATCATCCATATCACTGACGATTACTATCATCTTGATCATCATCACTGCTACTAAGCATTTTATATAATACCTAAGTATGACTACACAGAAAGATTATACAAGATTTACCAATGCATATATTAATAATTAGTAATAAAAATTTCAAGAGGTATTGACCATCCATAATTGAAATGCTATTGTTTAAAAAACACCCTACTTTCAATTGGCTATGATTGTAAAGATTTCAAATCTTTTTTAAAATGACTGACATTCTGTAAATGATTGTTCATAGACTAGAGAAGAGAGCTGTTCTTAGTAGTGAAGTAACAGCGCTTGCAGATGCAGTTACTCGTACGCCAAACGAGATCGACTCTGCATGAAACTTGACTGTTTGTTACGCGGCTATCAAGCAACACTAACTTTTTTGATGGTATAGCAACTCTTTACGGCATCTTATCTTATATTACAGGCTTCGATAAAGAGTTAATATCTATAGAAATAACCATTTCCCCGTATCAATATGTCCAATTTTCGAAACGCTTCACTTAATGCAATCTTCCAAGGCGCTTCATTTCTGAACTTCTCGTACCGTTTGGAAGATTTTTTAATCGGGATATCTGTACTTTTGGATTGTGAATACATTTTGCAGTGTTGTAGGGAAAACACATCCATGCTCTTTTATGCAAGAATCGATGAAACCTGTGCCGGAGTACTCTTAATGTTCATGGCTCGTACTTCATACAATCTTGTTTACAAACGGAGATAAAAAAAAACCTTAGAGTTATATAGCAATAAAGATATCTTCCGCTGGTCCGCGGCAAAAACAGTATATTCTTGATTATTAAAAACTAGATCATTGGATAATGCAATTCAAGACTTTTTATTGGCTTAGCCATCATGGTATATCAGCCAATATACCACAATCTACAAATATGGCAAGCACGTGTCAGCTTAAAATTAAAAGGTAGCTAAAAATTTAATAAAATTTAATAATTTAAATGGTGCTTACCAATACTTGGCTGTGTAGCCGCGTGATGCGGTTCCAGTCGAGGCCCACAAATTTACCCTTGCTCACCATAGAGTCTCCTGTAGCTCAGTGGTTGGAGCATCCGACTAGATCACGGAGGGTCGTGGGTTCAAGTCCCATCTGGAGCTCGGATTTTTTCTATTACACTAAAAACTGTTTCATAATTTAAATTAACGTTTTTAATAAAACAATTATTCCACTCGCGCTTGTTGGATATGAGATGATTATAGCCAACGAGGCGCGTGGCGCCGAGTTGGCTATCTATCATCTCATATCCCACAAGCGCTTGTGGAATAATTGTTGATTAGTTTTTGTATCTATGGACTTCTATAAGGTCACAGATAGTATACTGTCCAGAGTGTAAGTCCGTTCCTCCGTCCGTCCATCCGTAACGAAAGAAACCTTCAGTTCGGACTTCTCCGATATCGTCTGATTTTCGTATCTCCCTTCGGCGATCGTGATCACTGGTTTTTGTCTCCTGCAGGTTTTGAATCGCATTGCTGCGATTATTTGCTCTGCAAAAGAAATATTTTGCCCCGTAAGCAAGTTGTTATGTAGCAGTGCCGCAGCTATTTGTTCCCCGCTTGATTGTTTACTCAGAGATCGACATGAAAGATAAAAATCGCTAAATATTTTCGCATGTGTGCAAATAGGCATTCGGATCAAATTTCAATGTGGATATGCAAGTTTGTCAGTGTGAGGAGAGATCTCAAGTTTCGTGGTATTTGTTAATAGGAAGCAACACTAAAATAACCAAGAAATATTTCAGGACGACAGTTTTATTCAAAACAGTTCTTGATTTGCTGATCTAGACGAAAAACGTACGAATTCCTCACGTGTACAAAGTCCACATTTTTACGAAAATCCTTAAGCCTCCCCTGTCTACTTTGCACAAGCAGGAGCACATTGCTGTGGCACATCTCGATGACCTTTCCTTGCAAGGGCAAACTTATGAGGAATGTGTCCAAAATGTTGTAGACACCATTGTTTTGTTTGACAATTTAGGCTTGGTTGTGCATCCGGAGAAATCCATTTTTATACCCACACAAGTCCTCAACACCTTTGGATTTATAATAAACTCGGTTACAATTACAAAACAACTGACCAGGGAGAAAGCTATCGGTTTACAAAGATCCTGTACTGAGCTACTAGCATGTTCATCTCCATCTATTAGAGAGGTAGCCAGGGTCATTGGGAAAATAGTTTCCAGTTTCCCTAGGTCATGTACGGACCTCTTTATTACCGACACTTGGAAAAAGATAAACCTATCCGG